TATGTCACTTAGTTCATGTCACATAACACCTTCTGGGTCAAACCACATTATCAGAAATGAAAAGACAGAATAAAAAAAGCTGAAGAGACACAAATACAATGAATAGCCTGAATGTTATCAGTGTGGAATGGAGAAGGATGATGGGCAACATGAGGAAGTGGGAATGGGAAGTACAGGCTTCCATGGGGTGAAAAGAATACAGGGAACTCCTCCAATGGTTTTCCCATAGCATTTTATGGTGCCAGATATTAGCTACTATTGGTGAGTATAGTAGCACCTATAGAGTTGTTGAATCTGCATGTTGTACACCTAATGAAATGGGACATTGTAGAGTATATATTAATGGAAAGGAAATCAAGATGGATATCAAGAAGGATATACATGTGTAGATTAAAGTAGTGTCTTAGGAATTTGCAAGTAAAGAAAACTAAACCTACTCTTCCAAAGAAGCTAATCCTAAGTACTCACAGTAGGATAAAGTCCTAGGAAAGCAAACTGATCAGTATCACAGTGGAGAGAAACATTCCTCAGTGTAGAAGGGAAGGGACAGGGAAAGAGAAGCATGTGCCCAGCAGAGCAAAGAAGGGAACTGGAAGACCAAGAAGAGCCTGTGGTCCTCACAGGCAGCCCAGAAAGAGTAAACCAGGGCGTCCATGGAAGAACAGTTATTCCTGTGAGAGCTTCTTAACTCCATTTCCTTGAATTTGGTCTCCCTCTTCTCACCACTGAGGAGCATCAGGAAGGAGGTGGATTCCTCGGGGAAGACCAGAAAGTGTAACCAGTTTGTAGAACTGCTCATTTTAGGCAAAGTCAGCTTTCAGAAGGAAGCCTAGTTTCAAAGAAGTGATCCTGTGGCCTGAAGCCATGGGTATTAGTAAAAATGCAGGGGAAACTTGAAATTGATAAAGGCCATATATTCAGTAGGATCCAAGCTACAAAATCCAGCATTGTACACAGAAGCAGATTGCACCTGCATTTCTTGTGAAGGAGGGAGCTGTTTCCATGAGAATGGTGGCATGGAAAATTGAAGACAGAAAAATAAGAGGAGGTGCAGAGAAGAGTGATTGGGTTAAGTTTGTTATGCAGGAGTAGGGTTGGCTTGAATGAAGAGTGAAAGGAAGTGAAGGACTCCATACTCACCTGTATGCTCTGCCCCCTTTTTAGGAACTTTTGAAACTATCGTGATTCAGTCCTGGAATTTTGGGTGGAACATGCATTGTCAATCCGGTGGCACATTTGTGAAAAGTAGAAACGCAGATGCTACCCAAACATCCAAGTCAGAGTGTGAATTTTAACAGGATCTTCAGTTCATTGTCATACACATTAACATTGGAGACGTGCACATCTAGCTCAGCCAGACTCTTCCATTATTCTACTCCTGACGTCATGTCTGTAGGACATTACTTTGAATACTGTGCCTTGTTGTATGCCTTAAATCAGGGTATATGCTCTTCATTTCCCAGATTATTTGGGGTATGGGTTATCCCTTCACATCCACATAACAAGAGGATGAATTTTGATCTTTGTGCACAAATGGCATTGGAGTTTGGCAGAGATTGCATTTTCTGTAGATCCCTTCAGGATTTATTGTGTCAATTATTCCAGTGAAAGAATATAGTTAGGTTTCCTACTTATTCATTCTCTGATTCCTGCACAGTATATTGCACTTTTCATCGATTCTGGTTTGACCTCTACCCTTATGTTAAATTGGAAGCATTTTTTGAGGGGGCGGGTGTTTGCCATAAATGTATGATGTCTCTGTTTTGGGAATTGTTCTTTGTTGTGTAGAAACAAAACTAATTCTTATGTGTTGGTTTGTGTACCAGCTTTATAAAATCCATATGAGTTTTAACAGGATTAAAACAATAAGCATTCCCAGGAGAAGAAATTGCAGTGGCGTAGGAGAGTCCTAGACTCATGTGTCCTGTCATGAGCACCACTAGGTAAATGTCAGGTCGTCCCAAATGCCCCAGACATTGGACTGAAGAGTGACAGGAGAAACTCCCCAAGTAAGAGGAGAGAAGAGAATACATGGAAGATGGCAGATAGTGTGGAGACGTGGTTTAGGGAGGAAAGGAGTATTCCATTGTGGCAGGAAGGGAGGCCTGGTTGTGCAATAGGTGTCATGACAGTGGACCACTCAGGGGATACCTCAGGAGGTTTCCCAAAGCCATTGGCTTGGAGAGGGTGAAGGACTGAATTTCCTGAGTTCTTGGAACCAGCACATCTTAAAGCCTGGAGGTTTAATGGTCAGCAGGTTTGGATGGATAGAACCAGGAAGGCAGTGGGGTGCTCCTGGAGAGAAGGCTGGCAAACAACCTGGGGGCAGAGAGTGTGGAAACAGTCATCTGGAGAACACCTGGGGTGCACAGTGGGGAGAGTATTCAGTAGTCTAGGAGCACATTCCTGAGAGGAAACATTCAGTGTCATGTGGCTTCCAAAACATGGGAGCCCTCTACTGTCCTGTAGCATAAAGACTGAGCCCCACTCAGTGAGGACACCGGCTGTCTGCCTTGCTTACACCAGGCCTCACCCACTGTGATCTGAGGTGACTACCCTTCTCAGTGAGGCTTGTCTCAGGCTAAGCAAGGTCAGCCCCTGCCCACATCACGTTTCCTGAGCAGAGAGTTCTGCAGGACCGCAGTTCTGGTGGACTTGATGTGAGGTCTCCTTTCATAAGCAGAACAGAGCTCATCTAGTTCAAACTGGCCACATTCAGGCCAGGGACCAAACACTGCCCATAGCAGGCAAGGAGAGCCCCTGCAGACCACTGGTCTGAAGCATACAACAGGACACATCACTGACTTTTCTAATGGATAAGAAAAGTAGAGAGTTAGATGCCAAGATGAAAGAATTTATAAGACCAAGAGCAGATATACAATGGAAACAGTAGTAAGGAGCTTGATGGAGAATTTAAGGTTGCAATCATAAGGACACTCAAGGAGTGAGAAAACAGTAGTGAGAACTTTACCACAAAGATAAGAGTTAAAAAATAATTGGGTGCTTGGTGGCTCACTTGGGTAAGTACCGAGTCTTGATTTCTGCTCAGATCTTGATCTCAGGGTCCTGGGATGCAGGCTCAAGTAAAACTGTATATACAGTCTAATGCCTGCATGTGATTTCCTCTCTCTATGGCTCTCACCCAAAATCTTGTGATTCCCCTCAAATATTCTTACCTCTTATAATTTTCTTCCTACTGTCAGTTATACTTTTACTGTACTCTGTTTGATTCAGTTCAGTTTTCTGTTTCCATATCCTCCGGTCTTCTGCGAAGTTTTAGCTCATATAATCCTTTTTGTGCTTGTTAGAGATACAGGAAAGTGATTTCTGCTACACTGTGACCATATCACAGAATTATCTATTAGGATATATGGTCAATATGTTGTGTACCATGTTGCGTATCCATGGGGAAATGAGATCCTGATGACTCCTTGTCTTCCATTGTTCTGATATTTTCTGATTGACTTTATGCTTCTGCATTAGAGGTCATCGGTATATTCTTCTGAATGTAGTAAGTGCAGTGGTTTTACTTTTATTTGGTATCTTTCAGCTCTGTCTACACATGAGACCCCGAGTTTCCTGCTACAGCAGAGCATAGAAGGTTCTTTCCAGGACTGGTCATGGCACAGATACAAAGATAGTGCTGTTGAGATATTACACTTATGTACAGACTGGGACAATGATGGGGAGAGTGAAGGGCCTCAAAGAAATCCTGGACGATACACCCAAACCAAGGCAATTGCCCTTAATGAGAATCTCACTGCCCCAAATGGTGAAGGATATAAACTGCTGCAGAAAACCTCCCTTTTTAAGTCAACTGTTTCTGCAGAGCAGTGGGTCTCTGTCTGCAAAAGTTCCAATCAAATATTCAACCATAACGATTTGTGGACAGACCATTTGGAACATCTGGAAAGTAACGTAGTCCATTCTGAAAATAATGATTTGAGCCATTTGGAAGATAGGATTGGCCTGCCCTTAAATCAGAGATTTAGAAATGAAGAACAAAGTCCTCAGTGGGATCCATATGAGAGGGACATCACTGAAGAGTTGACCCAACAGTATGACCAGAGGGTTTCCACTGGAGACAGAATTGCTCAATGCACTGAATCTGAAAAAACATTGAACCAGGGCTCTAGGGCTCACAGATGTGTCAGGGCTAGGTTTGCAGAGAACCATTATGAATGTGATAAATCTGGGGAAGGCTTTCATCCAAGCTCTAACCTCACTATACATAATGGTAACCATTTGGGAGATAGTCCTCATAAATATAATGAATGTGGGAAAGCTTGTAACCAGTCCTCCAGTGTTGGTGATCATCAGAGAATTCATGAGGGAAAAAGCCCATTCACATCTAATAAACCAGAGACCATGTTTAGTCAGTCATCAAGCCTAAACATCAATGAGATAATCCCTTGGGGAAAGGAAACTTACATTTTTAAGGAATGTGGTAAATCCTTCGACTGCCCCTCAACACTATCTCAACATCAGCGAATGCATACTGGAGAAAAAGTATACAAATGTGAAGAAGGCAATCAAAGCTTTAAGGACTGTTCATCAATAAATGGACATTCGGAGATATATGCTGGAGAGAAACCCTGCAAATGTCAAGAATGTGGCAAGGCTTTTAACGATCACTCAAGTCTTAATAGACAGCACCAAATTCATATTGCAGGGAAAAATTACAACTGTAATGAATGTGCCAGAGCCTTTACATCATGCTCAAAACTTATTCAACATCAGAGAATTCATACTGGAGAGAAACCTTACCAATGTCAAAAATGTGGCAAGGCCTTTAAACGCCTTTCACACCTTTCTCAACATCATAGAATTCATACTGGAAAGAAACCTTACCAATGTCAGGAATGTGGCAAGGCCTTTACCTGGAGGTCAAATCTTTCTCGGCATCACAAAATTCATACTGCAGAGAAAACTTACCAATGTCAAGAATGTGGCAAGGCCTTTAAGTGGAGGTCACATCTTTATCAACATCACAATATTCATAATGGAGAGAAACCTTACCAATGCCAAGAATGTGGCAAGGCCTTTAACTGGAGGTCAGGTCTTGCTGAGCATAAAAGAATTCATTGTGGAGAAAATCCGTACCAATGTGAAGAATGTGGCAAGCCCTTTAAGGACAGTACAACTCTTATTGAACATTACAGAACTCATACTGGACAGAAACCTTACCGATGTCAAAAATGTGGCAAAAGCTTTAATTGGAAGTCATCCCTTATTCAACATTACAGATCTCATACTGGAGAAAAACCTTACCAATGTCAAAAATGTGGCAAGTCCTTTAACCGGAGGTCATCCCTTATTAAACATCACAGAATTCATACTGGAGAGAAACCTTACCAATGTCAAAAATGTGGCAAGGCCTTTTGTTACAGGTCATCCCTTACTCAGCATTATAGAACTCATACTGGAGAGAAACCTTACCAATGTCAAGAATGTGGTAAGGCCTATGCCATCCCTTCACAACTTACTAAACATCACAGAATTCATAGTGTAGAGAAACCTTACCAATGTCAAGAATGTGGCATGGCCTTTCTCCACAGCTCAGCCCTTATACGACATCACATAATTCATAGTGGAGAGAAACCTTACCAATGTCATGAATGTGGCAAGAGCTTTAAACGGAGTTCATACCTTATTCAACATCACAGAACTCATACTGGAGAGAAACCTTACCAATGTCGGGAATGTGGCAAGGCCTTTACCTGGAAGTCAGGTCTTACTCAGCATTACAGAACTCATTGTGGAGAATAATCTTACCAATGTGAAGAATGTGGCAAGCCCTTTAGGGACAGCTCAACTCTTAATGAGCATTACAGAACTCATACTGGAGAGGATCCTTAACAATGTCAGGAATGTGGCAAGGCCTTCAAGGTGAACTCACACCTCAGTTGACATAGCAGAACTCATACTAGAGCGTAACCCTATAAATTCCAAAAATGTGGCAAGGCCTCTAACTGGTGCTCAAGGCTTAGTCAGCATCAGAGAATTCATAATGGAAAGACATCTTACCAATATCAAGAATGCGGCAAGACCTTTAACCACAGCTCAGGCCTTACTCTACATTACAGAATTCATACTGGAGAGAAACCTGGCAAATGTCGTGAATGTGGCAAGGCCTTTAACCAAAGGTCAAGTGTTACTGAGCATCAGAGAGTTCATCCTGGAGAGGAACCTTACCAACGTCAAGAATGTTGTTAGGCCGGGCGCCTGGGTGGCTCAGTGGGTTAAGCCTCTGCTCAGTGGGCTAAGCCTCTGCCTTCGGCTCAGGTCATGATCTCAGGGCCCTGGGACTGAGCCCCAGGTCTGGCTCTCTGCTCAGCAGGGAGCCTGCTTCCCCCTCTCTCTCTGCCTGCCTCTCTGCCTACTTGTGATCTGTCTGTCAAATAAATAAATAAAATCTTTTTTTAAAAAAAAGAATGTTGTTAGGCCTTTACAGGCACTCGGTCCTCACTAAAAATAATATTCATACTAGATAGAATGCTTACTAGTGTATAGAATGTAAGAACAGGGGCACCTGGGTGGCTCAGGCGGTTATGCAGCTCCCTTTGGCTCCAGTCATGATCCCAGGGTCCCAGGATTCAGCTCTGCATGGGCTCCCTGCTCCACGGGCAGCGTGCTTCTCCCTCTCCCCCTGCCTGACCCTCCTCTCTACTTGTGCTCTCTCTTCATCTCTCTGTCAAATAAATAAATGAAATCTTGAAGAACAAAAGAAAAAAAGAATGTGAGCAAAATTGGTTAAGAAGTGCTCACCAATTCATGCCTACAAGAGAATTCATATTAGACCATAACCTCACAAATAAAACCAGTGTGGCAAGGTCTTTGTCCAGCATGCACGCCTTCTAAACAGAGAATCATACTGGAAAAACACCGGATGAATAATGTGTCCAAACCTCTAGCAGGCACACAACCCTTACTGCACATCACAGAATTCACCCTGCAGAGAAAATTACAGATGTAATGAATGTGAGAGAGTGCCTAAGGACTGCTCCCTCCTCACTCCATATGAGAGACTTTAAATAGGAGGGTAAGTATCCAAATACTAAGAATGTGTCTGACCTCTCAGTGGGACTCCCAACTTTCTTCATATTGTTCTTTTCATACAAGAGTGAAAGTGTGAAATGTAAAGAACGTGGCCAATCCTGTAACTGGAATTCAGTGCTTACTCAATATCTCAGAATGCATACTACATTCAAAGCCTTGGAACATCATGAATGTGTAGAGGCCTTCATTTTAGTATACATTGGAGCACACACCAGAGAGTGCATTAAGGGAAGTCAATTGAAAGTTAGCAATGTTTAGAAAACTATTGAATTGAACATCAGATGCCAATGAATGTTACAGAAATCAAGCCAATGGAATGCATTATTCACCCTACTCAGACATTACCCTGCATGAAAATAGTGATTATAAGGAGAAATCAGACCTGAACACTTAGAAAATGTATATGGTAGTCTGATGAACAGATTTAGTGGATGGACTTTTTCATATATATATAAGGATTTCAGTATTTTTTAATTTTTACATTAACCCTATATGAGATTTGTGACTAACAATTACTAGTGTATTTCCTCTGAAATCACTCCAGAAAATTCCTCTTTTCCTTGTGGGGGTTTAAGAACACAGAGCTGATTGTTGCTACGTCAAAGATAATTAGATGTTCTGCTCCATTAAGTGGGACCATACGTACCTAATTTTCCATGGAAGAGGACCGTATGATATACAACATATGAAGTACATCTCAGTGGAGAGGGTGCTTATGGTTATAACACTAATGTAAGATTCCATGAGATAAGTGTTCAGGGAACACACATCTGGATGTATTGAAACTGAAGAACTTCCTGAATATTAGAAATAGGAGGTTTTCCTAATTGTTCTTTAAGGAAACAAAGGGAGCCGGGGAAAACTACGAATGTATCTTCCTAAGTACAATCGTTAGAGAGTATGACTTGATGTGGTTAAATGAGGAGATCCTGAAGGAGGGTCGCTAACTCTTCCCTCCAATGCCATACCATTGAACATACACATTTCTGCAGAATGTACCTCAGTCCTGAAATTTTTGGAAATAGGTACTCCCACATCCTTCTGACAACACTTGAATGCTTTTGCACATGTGTGTTCTGTATTTCAAATGTCAACAATAGAGTGGATTTGATATGCATTACTCAGTGTATGTGTGAACTTAATATATTTTCATTAATAAAACCTTGTGTGTGTTTTTTTAATAAGATTTTGTTTATTTATTTGACAGCGATCACAAGTAGACAGAGAGGCAGGCAAAGAGAGAGAAGAGGAAGCAGGCTCCCGGTGGAGCAGAGAACTCAATGTGGGGCTGGATGCCAAGACCCTGGGATCATGACCAGAGCCGAAGGCAGAGGCTTTAACCCACTAAGCCACCCTGGTGCCCCAATAAAACACATTTTTTAACATACGTATGTTATGTTATGGGTATGTCATGAATGATGTGTTATTCTACGTCTAGTGTTCATCTATTTCATTGCGGGTTGTATGGAGCTGTTCAAATCCATCACCTGTTTGGTACTGGAGTAAAACAATATACCTAGGACACCATTTTCCCAGTGCTCTGAAGGTTTAAGGGATATGTGATTATTTTTCCCCAGTCTATGCTATGATTTTCTTCTCTTTGTGAATAGGATGATATTACTGTACGTGTATTACCAAGCTTTGTGACATAGAGGTATTGTTGGTGTTTTAGCTCATGTACTCCATGATACTGCTACTTGGCATTGTCGGGGCCTTGTACTGACAGGAGCCCTTCTCACTAATGCATTCCCCAGTCAGCACGCTGTAGGGTGACAAGTTAGTGGAATGTCTCATATGACATCTGTACTCTATCCTAGTGAGCCATCATCACTCCTTTCTTCCAATGCCTTCCTTCCCATATCCCATAGAGAAGACTCCCCCTCCCCCAGAGCTTCCCTAAATCTGTTTTAGTCAGAATAGCATATTCTGGACATACACTTGGGACTCATAGCACTGTACTATGGCCCCAAATGAAAGTATGTGTCCCACATCCTGCATTGACAGTTGTTTTCATGTGTCTGTGAAGTACACATGCACATATGACCATCCTATGATTGTAATAGGTACCCCATAAGAAAGAGAAATCTATCCCAATTGCAGTGATGTGGTAGCCCAGGAAAGAGACAAAAAATATTTAAGATGAGGAATTAGCATGTAGAGGAGGACAACTGTGCTGAGTTTCCCAAGTGACTCACTAGATGTAGAAATATAACTTCTACTTATGACCTACTTATCTCCAGATCACCAGTTGTATTCGCCCTCATTTTTCCTCCTCGCTATGTCCTCTTTTGCCTGTGATGTGGAGAGAGTGTCTTCAAAGATGCTTAATTGAGATTAGACAGATAGAAAACCGATGGGTATAAGACATTTAGCACGGGGTGGTGGGATGTGAATCTAAGTAAAATTTGGGGGAAGGCACCATCCTTTGAGAGAAAAACAAGACCTATTAAAAGGAAATGTGATGAATTATTTCCTGTGTGGGGAGGGACCTGGAGGTGGCTCCCTTTAGTCACTGCAAAGGCACAGGCAGCTGTTGCTGGTGTCGTCTGATGAATACATGTCATGGGGAGAAGAGATCGCTAATGTGGGTTTCTCAGGAGTGGGGAAGTTCTGCTTCATCCTGATGATTTGATCGACCTCCTGTCTTCCTGAGAACTAATGCTGTTGGATGTCAGTGATGACTGTACTATCCATGCCTAGATCCATGACAAGGGATGGAGGAGGGTGTTGGATGATGCAATCATGTGGGCAGCTTTAAGATATCACGTCATAGAATAGATGTTTGAGATGAAGAAGGCTTCTGGACAGTGGAATAAGCCCAATCAGCTGGGCATGTTCTGTGGTTGTTCCCTCATTTCCCATGTAGATAACCGCAGTCAAGGTGAGATCCAGTGTGGTTGGGAGATCCTTCAGAGGAGCTGCTTCAGTGCTGTGCCAGACCTTCCTCCCTTTCTTCCGTGCCATCATGAGACTAGTACTAGGGGTGTCTGGGTGGCTCAGTCATTAAGTGTCTGCCTTAGGCTCAGGTCATGAGCCCTGCATTGGGCTCCTTGCTCAGTGGTGAGTTGATTTCTCTTTCTTCTCTGCCCATCACCACCCAGCAAAACAAGTAGCTCTCTCATTCTCTCAAATAAAATATATTTCTTAGAGATTTTATTTATATATTTGACAGAGAGAGAGAGATCACTAGTAGGCAGAGTGAGAAGGGAAAGGAGGCTTCCTGTTGAGCAGAGAGCCTGACACGACCCTGAAATCATGAGCCAAAGGCAGAAGCCCAACCCTCTGAGACTCCCAGACACCCCAGCAGTTGATATCAAATAGAGTTGCCTAGGGGCACCTGGGTGGCTCAGTGGGTTGAAGCCTCTGCCTTTGGATCAGGTCATGATCCCAGGGTCCTGAGATCAAGCCCAGCATGGGGCTTTCTGCTCAGCAGGGAGCCTGCTTCCCCCTCTCTCTCT